TTTGCATGAAGCAATACTCTTAAATAATTGCTACTTGCAGTTTCCATATTTGAGTGAGGTCCATTCATTCAGCTCCTCTTTGTCTTAGGTCTGGCTTTGTGCAGGACATGCTGGAAGGCTTTTCTTTTTTTTTCTTCAGGTCTCTGGCACTTTTTCCACTCAAGAACACATCAGAATATCAGGATATTTGTAGTGTTTGTGGAGCTATTAATCATTATTAGAGTGATAGTTTGTGGGCAAAACAAGCAAAATAAAGTTTAAAACAGACGCTCCCTCTAAATAAATGGGTTTGATTGACCAATCCACAGCCCTCAGGTCAGCGGAATTCAGTTTGAGCGGACTCTAGAAGTCAAACATGAGAAGAGCAGCCACCCTTCACAGAGGTGCACAAAATACTCTCCCGTAAACCAAAGCCATGATCGGTTTTGGTACATCGGACCTGGCCATATCAGATCTTAAGCGGGCTTCAGAGGTGGCAATGGACTCCAAAACCCCTGGCCAGAGTCCAGAGGCAGAGGCAGTGAGCTCAGCAACGAGGGTGGCCAGTTTCTGGCAGAAGTTGAACCTCTCTCCCATTTCCCACCACGCTCATTTTCCAGAGGTGCAAAGGGCCCAGCATCCAGCTCTGCGTGGAGGCAATGTCTGCACTGAAGCTTAGGGTAAATCTCAGTTAAACCCTCCCTTCCAAACGTCTAACAGGAAATTGAAACCTGCTTTTCTTATCTGATCTCAAGAATTCCAAGCTTTGTTGTCCATTCAATTATTCTTTGATCCTGTCAACCACTGGCTTCCTATTTTTGGCTCACCCAAGGGAGGGGGGAACCTTTCCCTCTTGGTCATCACCTGCCTGGCACACACTGAGCTACAAGTTCCATATTTAAGTAATAATTCTTTAGGCTCTTACCTGAAAAAGGAAAGCTTTGTTGGCTAACCCTCTGCTGATACAGAGCAAATACAGACCTGAAGGTCTGACCTTCCATCGGCATGTTGGATTTAGAGCTGTGGAGTCCATTGCTGAGGAATTAGCCAGGAAGCCTGGAGGATGACTTCCCATGAAGGAAGGATGACCAGGCTGCATTGCCAGAGCAGGTAGGCAGCTTTAGCTGAGGAAAGAGAATCACAGCCTGGCCAAGACCGTAATGTCAACTAAGTCAGAGGTTTCAGTAAGCACTGGCCCTTCAAAGCTTCTCGCCAGTGCAATGACCTCTCTCCAAGCAGAAGGAATTACACAGGAACACCAGGTATGAGATCCCAGAGGAGTAACTCAAGAGATGTTCTGAGGAGCAAGAGCCACGATGCCATCTTCAGATGTTCAGAAAACAAAACTCATAACTCACCTTAAGAGCTGAGACTTGCACATGCATGCATGTACATAAAAATGTGGTGCTTTTAAAATTTATTGTAGGTAAGCCTAAACTCCTGGTCTTCTGTTTGCTCAGGCTGATACACACAGGTCTCTGTGTTTTGTAGTCTTTAACTATGAGAACTAGAATTTCTGTTTTCTTAAAATGAAAACTTCAGATTCTCTCACAATTTCTTACCCAGTAGGACCACAGGTTGGAAACAAATTCTAAATATTGTTATGATCTGTCATATAGCCACAAGCGCTGGTAGCTGGGGGGAGCTAAAGAAAAAAAAAGATCAGTCTCAGCACTATGAATACAGTGAAACTACTACGCACAGGTTTCAGCTGGAGGAACTAGTCAGGTCAGGGGTTGTCATATTTTCTGACTACGAGGACTTAGACTATGTCTGGATTCAAGGTTAGGCATAACGCAGGCCTGCACCACTTCTCCAGCCTCCCGAAACATGCACTAGATCAAACACGAATCGTATCTAGAAAAGAGCAGTTGATCCTTTGGTAAACAGCAAAATAATGTCTGAGCAGGATTACGCATCATTTATTCTATATTCAGCTCTGCCTACTAGGAAAACAAGTAGAAATTAAAAAACTAAAAGGTTCAGAAAGCAAGCTCTTCACCAAAGAACCAACAAGTTCCCCAAGAGCTCATGTGCAGGACTGCCTGCCTGGCTGACAGAAGGGCCATTTCCCAAGTCATGGTTAGGGTACAGACTGTCTCGTTGTATCCTTCCACATCAACCACCGCGGTTCTGCCTGACACCAGTGGTTTCCCATCGCTATCCCATCAGATGACCCAAGCGAAGGACGTTTTTCTAACAAGACAAAAAAGCAGCCCTGTTTCTTTCAGCTCTGTAGGAAACACTGGGAAAAGCAACTGACAATCAGATGTAGAGACAAAAAATAGAGTTGTAAGAGGGCACTAAGCAGACGTGAGAAACAACAAAATGACTTGACACAGTTGTCGCTTAATAGTTTCTCCAAAGACCGGGCTGATTTTTTTTTCCAAGCTCTTTTATAGCGTTGGGTCCAATCACACCCACTTGGCACCTACCACAGGAACTGCACTTACTAAAGATTAAGTGAACAAATGCAAACTGGTGCCAAGAAAAGAAAATAATGTCAGCGCCATTAATGGAACTTCTGGCTTGCTTGTCAGCAGCACGCACTTCCCCACGTTGTCTCAACAGTTCCACGTGGCCGGCTCACATCAAAACCACCACAGATGTTCATCCACTTTCAAACATTTTCACAGCCCAAGAACTGGCACCTAGCCCATTTCTCTTCTCCCTGCATCAAGGGGCAAGATTCTCACAAACCACAGGTTTGTCATCCCCCCCAAGACTGACTGTAGCTGTTACCGCTGCAGTTTGGTCGTTATTGTACCGGTGAAGAGGAGCAGAGCCATCACTGTTTGTGAAATTCAGCTGGGATCTGTCAGCTATGTTTTGAGTTACGGAAAGGCCTGTTCCATCCCACGAACTTTTGTGTGCATTGGTGGATGTTACACTTGGTATCAACTGGAGAAGTGCCCGAGCTAACAGAATGCCCAAGATTCCCAACTTCAAGGAAACAGGGATTTAATTCAAAGGTTTGTAAGTTGACCACTGCAAAGAGCTTAAACTGGAACTCTGGAATAACTGCTTCGGAATGCTGATCCAGTTATTTTCAGTGAAGTGAAAAACTGAAAAACTACATGCTTGTGAATTCCCCTAGTTCAAAAATACATTGCGGTAACTCTTTAATCTTGGACTTCCTGAGCAAAGTAAAACAATACGACGTTGGCCTGCCCTTATGGCTGCGTGCCATGCCCCCCCAGTGACACAGGCACATCGCTGTTGAACAGAGGTGCGCTCGCTCCCACCCACCCACCCCCTGTATTTCAACAGTTCTCCCTTACACTTCCTCTAGCTCATCTTCTCCCAGCCCCACCTTGCTGCCAAGACATTCTGTGTAGCTATCCGTAGCAGATTTTTTGCTGGTAAAGACAGATTGTTCTCTCCTAGAACAGCATGTCTTTTAATCCTGTGATATTAATCCCTTTTGTTTTGGAACCGAACCACTTTAACGTAAAAATATACACACTTTCTCCCTTGTTTTTTCCCCTCCAGATTTTAACAAACATACTAGAAAGCAGCTTACTATTTATTCACCACTGTACATAAGCACAGTAGTTTATAGAACACAGATCCTGATTTTTATGTCAAGTGATACTGTGTTCATATAGAAAACGTACATAGCCCTGGTCTTACCTTTATCCTTGTCCATGCTACTTGCACCAGAGGAAGGTCATGTCTGTAGCTAGCAGAACTGAGAGTTAACTACGGTAATTAAGACTCTTAAAGTCTTTCTGGCAGAGGCTGCAGCTGTGAAACCTGCCTTCCTATACGCTGCTGACCTCAGGAACCGGACAAGAGGTAATTCTGGAAGCATGTAGAACAGAATGAAGTAACTAAACAGGGAAACACTGACTACCTTTCAGAACCGGGATTAGTAAACAGAGATTTGAGGCTGACCTGCTGCAAGTAATAAATTGGTTGTAAGAGTTAGAAAGACTTAAAACAGGAAGTCTCTAGAGAGCATTGCTACTTCAGGTTGTTTATATTTGAATAGATGAAAGTTAATTTTTGTATCACATTGTGTCTGAGCTACTTTAATACTTTGACTTCTAATTATTTAGCATACCAAGTATGAAATAGTTAGTTTCCATCTGTGTGCAAAGGTCAAGTTAAGGCCGATAGTTTGCCGATTCCGGAACAGATTAACTTACATTTTGTAGCAGTGCTCTGCTGAACGTCCAAGGAGCTTTCCTCAATCTGCTGCCTATCTCAATTAGTTGTCTTTTCTCAGCTGAGATGTAATCAAAACTGTGGTAAAGAACTACAAACCAACTACTGCTACCGCAAGGTGACCAGGAAATGACTAGTCTTTCCCCTGCACAGGAAACAGGGGCACCCACTGAAACTACCCAGTAAGAATGCATTTAGAACCAGTAACTGTGCTGTGTAAAGCAGTAATTCCTGTTATGGAACAGAATGTCAGAGGGAGCTGCCGAGGTCAAAAGCATCACTTAGTCCAAAGAAAGATTAGTCAAGTTCACAAATAAGTCCACCGGTAATTACACAGAATAATCCCATGCAACCTCCAGCTCAGGAAATCAGTAGACCAAAGGCTGGCTAAAGGAAGGCGAACTGAAAATCCTGTCAGCTGCCTTGCCTCCCTACTTAAAAAAAAAAAAAAAAAAAAAAAAATAAAATCAAGAAAATTGCCACAAGGTTGGTCTGGATTTAAAAGCAGTGTTGTCAGAGTCACTGTCACACTGAGGAACCTACAAGACTGACCACAAAAAAACTCAAGCATCTCGTGTCCCCCACGGCAGACAGAGGCAGTCTAACCAGCAGGCAGCGATTCTCGTAAGAGCTACTCACAGCCTGAAAGGCTCAAGTAACAGCACCCTGTTTCACACAGTACACCAGTCCGCTCCTCCAGGATGGGCCCAGCATGACATCTACTATACCTGTACTCAGGGTGTAACAACTTAGGCTAGTCTTAAATCTACTGTCTCTTCATTCAATACCAAATTTCTTTCCTTATGAGTAGGCACAGTAGTATAGCTCATAAGAAACTACTATCAAGTAAATTTAATAGAAAATCAAATACTTTAATGAAATTAGGGAGCATGAGAGTAACAGCTCAGATATACCACTAGAACTGATACTACTGGGCTGTGGGGTTTTTGCCTTTTTTTTTTTATGCTCTGTTCTTCAACAAGCATGCAGATTGACAAACTACTAATTCTTCAGTGTCAAAGATCCTGAGTAAAGAATTTCAAACCACTTAAAATGTATATATAGGAAATGTCTTATGAGCTGGTGGCCTGCACACAGCATTGCACAGATAAAAATATACTACTCTCAATACACAGAGCTAAATACTTTCACATTTATCAGAAATTTCTACACAAGTCTTTTGATAGAATTCAAGTTTTGAATTTTCTGTATATATCTTCCACCTGTATTAAACAAATGCTTATTTACATTGTGGATAAAGTGTAAAGGCTAGTAAGGCCATATTCCCATACTGTACTGTAACACTGCAAAATATATATACACATATATAACCTAATATAGGCAACAGTTCTAAAAAAGTCACCTTACATTTGTACAACATAATTGAGTCAGTATGAAAAGACAGCTTTGTTAGCACCAAGCCACTCCAACTGTTTTTACGAACCGTCTTGAGCTTGCCAGTTCCACAGGGAAGGACTGTTCAGCACAGTATGCCAACTACTGAGCCATGGAGGTCCTGCTTGCAGAACTGGAAGTCCCAAATAACACCCCACTGCACTACGGTATGGAAATTACTAAAGAGCAGGCATAGGAGCATCCAGAGACAAGTTCTGCTGGGTTATGAGGTGACGCTCCAGCAGAACAGTCACCAAGACATTTATCAGATTAAGTCTTTCACATCATTCTCTCCTGTTAGAACCTTTCCTTTGGATTTATGATAGTAAGTACACAATTGCCAGCAGAATGGACATTACTCAAGCGAGGTGGTTTACAAGCCATGTTAAATCTATACTGCAAAGACCAAACAGGGAAGAGCTCCACTGCTTAAATTCCAAAGGAAAAGAACTTTTTACTTTACTTATCGCCTATGCCTACTGTGGCCAGGATGGTCTCGGTCATAGCGATGACTTGCTCGCTCATAGGAGCGAGAACGCTCATGCCTGTGATTTCTATAGTAGTGACTCTTCTTCTTGTACTTCCCCGAATGGTCAGAGCGCTCCCGGGATCGGCTCCTGGAACGGGATGAACTCCTGCTGCGTGATTTCCGTGGTTTGTGTGTTGCGTATTTGTAGTCTTTTGACTTCTTGTAACTTCTAACCTTGGAACCTTTGTAGCTAGAACTGTGGTTGAACTGTCTTGGAGGAGAGTCACTGCGGCTCCTAGAACGGCTGTGGGATTTGGAACCACTCGATGTGGAGTAACTTTCACTTTTCCTATGAGAAGAGAAAAAGAACAGGAGAGAAAAATATATTATTTTCTTAATATTAAATAGAATTAATCTATATTACTATTAGTGCCTAAATATAGTCATAATACATACACACTTTAAGTACCATACAGGCAAATGTTTCTCACTTATAGAGCCAAGGTATGCAAGCGTAGTTTGAGACCAGGCACTTGATTCTGTATTCTGTTGTTCAGTATTCCATAAAAACTAATCTTGCGTCCTAGACTTGATAACACATCTAGTTACTGTAGAAATACTGATTTTTATAAACTTGTAACTGTCTGGAGTATAGTAGTCATGTCTCAGTTTTAGATTTTTTTCCTTCACTGCTTGGAAAACATGCACAAATAGCTAAGAGTAACTGCCAGATTCAAAGCGCTGCCAATAGTAAGACAAAAGGTAAAACTAGTTCTCCTGTTTTAGTTACAGTAATACTGTCACCAAAACGCCCAAGTTTGGAGTTAATGTTTCTTTCCAGGTCTTTGATTTCCCCTCTATGGGTATCATGTTTATATGCTGAACTTCAAAGGGAGTACAGAAAGCAGATTTTAAAGATGTTTCACTAAATTCAGATAATTACTAAAATTATTCAATTTTAGTAATTCAATTCAACGCTGAAGAATTTTCATCAGCAGATTTTAGCTTTGGTCTTTTCCACATACACATTAATACAAAGCCATATTTTTATCAGTACACACCCAAACACAATGGGATAGACTGTTGAATAAGAAGGCAAACTTGCATTGACTGAGGGGCATGAATCTCTGCTACTCTCACCTAGATACAAACCAAGACCATTTTGTATTTCATAAAACAAGGTTTTGCAGGAGCACCTGCCAATGTGACGAACGCTGGAGTTAAGAGTCCATCTACTGCAGAAAATGATTTAACTACTCCAGAACAGTTCAGTAAAAACATAAATGTTGTAGCCACAAGCTTTAAATATAAAAAACCCAAACCAACCCTGCTGTTTGGTGGGCCATATGTCACCAGTAAACAGGCTGACATTTGAAAATGTCCCAATATGCTTACGCTCTCCTTTCAGTCTGTTTGGCACAGGCATGGCAAGGTCAGACACTGCAAGTCCTCTGATCCGTGAGCCAAGACACCACAACTCTTAGCCATAACATTTCTGGAGTTTTAACTAGTAGCACGTAGTGCTCTGTTAGTTCATAGCCTCTCTTGTTGAGAAACTACCAAAGCTTGCTCTGAAATTTTAGCCCGGGAGCTTCTCACACTATGCCACTCTTTCACAATACCTGTGCTTAGGGGATGCAGATCTGGATGGTGATCTTGAGTAACTTTGATCTCGACTTCCACTTCGACTTCTGCTTTCTCTTCCTTTCTGAACGCTGCAAGAGATAATAAACAGTAAGTTATTTTGCTTAAAGTAGTCATGGGAAAAAATAAGCTTCTTCATTATGAAAGCCTTACCCATTTACTGGGCTATTTGAACTCATTCTTTTTGCTCCCTCTATTTTCCTTTTAGCATTCTTCATTGCCTGAACGGGTAGCGGTGAAGGTTTATTTCCTTTAACTTCTTTTGGAGACTCTAGAAAAACAAGCCTTTGTTACCTTACTTTGAAAGTATGGGTAGCGACTGAAAGAAAGACTGAAGCCTCCCCTCTTTTCTTCATCTTTGTAATAATCAGTACTGTATACATGTAGTTTGCATATATGTGCACACATGCATAAACACACAACCACCCACAAGAAGCAGATTTGGAGAACTTGCCAGAAGGCAAAAGTTAATCAGAAACATTTGTGCCAAAATACTGAAGTAACACCAGGGAGTTAACTGCAATTGTAACACATGACTTTCAAAGCCACTTCAAGAAATCAGAACAGCAACTTCCTTTGCTTGGTCATTATTAAGTATCTTTTTAAAGGCAAACTGAGGAAGACAGTAAATGCTATCTTCCAGGCAAGACACGCACCAAACTGGAAACTTTCAAGCAAGCATGCAGGAAAATATCCCCCACCCGTCACCCAAAAATACTACTCCTGCCAGAGTTCCTAATCATACCTACACTTCAATATTGCTGTAGCATAACATGACAATTGCAAGTATTTGTTTGAGTTTATCGCCAAAACCACATAAAAGCAAGTCCCTGTACTATACTAAGTTTAAACTAGCCTTAATTTTAGTCTAATTTGATTTTAGCCTTTATCTGTTTCAAGAAATTACAAAGTTACAATGCTATTCAAACTCTGTCATTTGAATAGCTGCTAGAAACCAGCTTAAGAAAAAAACAGAACAAAACCCAAGTGACGCTGTATATGCATGCCAAAAGCATAAATATACATTTATGATGAGAGTTATTAAAACCAAGTTATCCACTACTTGCCATTTTTCGGTATAGGGGAAAATCCTGACGTGTTATCCAAACTTGGGGCTCCCTCAGGTACTAGACCTTTAGCTTGTGCTTTTGCCTCTTCGATAGCTAATTTCTTCTTTTCTATTTTACTTTCCAGATCAGATAAATCAACCTGTGAACACAGGAGCACCGCTTATGACAAAACTTAGTAAACTAGATTTTCTGCTTACTCACTTACGGGGGCAGAGGGGTAGAAATCTAAAGAGACCCAGACACTGTGACTACTATCCTGTTCCCCTCAACGTGCCAGGCTTGCAGCAAGTTTCAAATGTGTAAGGTTTTCCAACTCATGTTTTAAGTTGCTGCCTTTAATGAAGGCTCACAATATGAAAAAGAAGCAAACCTTTTTCCGAGTATAGAGCTGCAAAATTTTTAAGCAGATTTCTTGAATTTCTTCTTCTGTTGCTCCAAAGAGTAAAAACCAGTGTGGACGATTAGGAAGTGGAATCTGAAAGGGAGGTGAAGACATGCTCAGTTTTCTGCTTCTATTAGAAGATCTAACAAACTTGAAATTAACGGAACTGTATGCTCACCTCCAGTGTCCTAGCTGCGAGGTAAATACATGCACAAGCAATGCTTTCTGGCTGGAATCTTACAAAGACATCTGTTCTCAGGCTATCATTCATGTAATTCCTGAAAAACAGGATAACAGTAAAGTTGCAGGGCACTGCAAAGTTGTTTGGTGGGGTTTGGGTTTGCTTTTTTTTTTTTTTTAACTTCTACAAAGACTATTTCTTCCTGCATTCAGTTACTAGACTTCAACACTATACTCCTGTAAATCTAAAGAGAAGTTGAATTATTTTACTAAAAAAAAATAAATTAAAAAAATCAATCCCTCAAGGGGAGGGATGCGTGACAGAAATTAAGTCTGACTGCTGAAAATTCAGTTGTGAAGAGAACCAATTTTAACTTCACTTTTCCTTCTGGATCTCTACTGGCCTGCTCTCATGCAATAGACAAGTTCTTTTTATCAAGACAACATACAATATTATCTGAAATACTCAGTTATAGACTTTTAGGTTCACATGTTTCTCTGCAATAGGGCTGAACCCAGATGGTTTGCTGAAAGCCGCAGCTCCTGTAGCAGTTCTCCCATGAAAATGCAGTCCACTTCAGCACGTCCCAACTTCCACTCAAGATTTAAGGGGTCCCTTTTCCTTCCGAAGCATTATTTTCCATCCAGAACAGAATCCTTTTTGATACAAAAAGCGGCCATAGAAGAAATCAGGGTGTTTGGGAACATCAGTTCAGGAGAATACTCAGTATTCAGGCAGATCTCCTCTTTGGCACATGATATAAGGTTTCCAAATTGTCCCATTTCAGTAAGGTTGCTTAAAATGAATATTCACAGAATGAGAAAACTGCAAAATATTGCATATATTCCAGTCAGTACACTTAAGCATTACTCTCCTACATCTTAAATACACAAAGTAATTTCCTCTGAATCTGTCAGCTGATGTGCTTAAAAAGATCTAGATTTTTGAGCACATATGTCAAGCAAAGTATCAGATACGGAAAAGCTAAAACCAGACACAACAGAAAATCCTCAAAATAATATGCCTTCTGAAAGTAGTAATTAACCATGCAGGTACCCAGCATCCAAAGATTCACTAACCCCCAAGATATCCAAACCAGAGACCACAGTCCAGACACAAGGAGCTTGAATCCCAAGAGTATCAAGCTCCCACCTGCCCCAGTTGTCTCACATTCTTGTTCATACAAAGCACAACTGCTACCCCACAGAAGCACCGCTAAACATCAGCTCATCGTTCTGGGAGAAAGGAACTTCAAAACCTACTTTTCTTGTCCCACTACAAAGAGAGCACAAACCTTTTGGCAAAAGAAGCAATAAAGAAAAGTCGTACTTCAAACATCTGGAAGTCATACAGCCTTTTTCTAATTTGCCAAATTGAAAAACATGTCTGCTTCCAAGTTTGGCCTCTGCGTATTTTCCCTGTGGGCTCAGAATCAGACACATGAAGAAATGAATCCTTGTCACAATTTTAAGAAAAAGGTAATGTTGTAAAAACACACATTTCAAAAAACAATTATACTGGATATCCACCAGTTTTCAGGTACTGGAAGCAACAAGCATCAGCACACAAATATGTTATTTTAACATCTGAACCATTTCTCAATTGAGGTAATTTCCTCCCTCCTCCTCACCTACCCCTCCTTTCATAACAAGTAGAAAACTGATAATCAGTAGTCCGTAACTCACATCCAAGTACTTCATGCAGCAGTACTGGGAAATCGGGCAGTGGCAAGTTTCTCTAAATATTACATTTCACTCCAAGCTTCACATAGGTACTCAAATGTCTTCTAACTAGTTTACAAACAAAACTGTATTTCAGGTTTTGCTGTGTTAATTCATCCCTTTAAGACTTAAATCCCACCTTAATCTCCTTTATCACTTCAGAGTACATCATTTTAACAGTTATAGAAATATAACATTAAAAATCTTTCAGAACTTCAACAGGCAGGTTATAAAATACAACAGTCAAAATGCACAACAGAAATAAAAGTCAGAAAGTATAAGCACAAGAAGCAGTTGGCCAGTTACTATACTATCATGTATATACCACCTGTCTAGAGTCAGCCTTCTCTTTGTAGAGCCTGCTTTGGTTTGACAGAAGACGGCAGCTATCCCTGCACCATAGGGCTTGGGCAGCAGAGGAGAAGTCTTAGTCACTTACCCTCAGAGGCTACCCTTTGATTAAAAGAGTACAGAAAAGAAAAGTCAAAACTGGTTCTCTACACACAGGTCACAGTACCAGACAGTTCAGTCAGCAGAAATATGATCTTTGGATTCACTAAAGGTTTTTAAACCACAGTATTGTGAAAAAGCATTATTGTTTAAAAGCATTATCTATTTGTTAAGTTTAAGACTTGGAATTTTACATAAGCTTCCCATCCCCAAGCAAATCTTTACTGTAATGAGAGCGACAAGGCAGAGTACCTTTCTTGGCAAACATGAAAACATTTGAGTTTATCCAGTCTTAGAAGCTGACATCTTACATTATCCATATGGATAAAAGAAATTTATCTGAGTTTTTGATACACCTGTAATCAAGCTCAAGCCCTGGGAAAAGCCATTTCCCATCACTGGTAACAGACTTTGACTACACAGCTTTCTCTGAAGAACCAAAAAAACCAAGGAAATGCTATAACCCACTCAACATTTTCCCTTCAGCTGAAAAGTGAAAGCAGAGAGGAGGGAAGTGAGAAGTCAGGGTGGAAAGCTACCTTACCATTAAAACAGTGCCTCTAACTCACAAGGCTGATCAACATTTGGGTGGTAGTTTGGGGCACGCCAATAAACAGCAGAGCTGCATGGCATGGCCCACAATCACTCCTGAGCAATGTTGCTCAGAGTGCCTCAAGTGACATATTTCTGCTACTGCCCCTGCTGGTCTCTTATAACAAAGAAAATCAACTTACCATGAAGTCTGGACCAGGTGTTGGTTACGTTCACATTCTAATACCTGAAGGTACATAACGATTATCTGGAAGATATGGGTTATTGAGTTATTAACAAGAATCTTGAGAGCCACCTATTTATTTGAGAGGGACATCCATGAGGCATCTGTTATTCTCTCTCAAGTTCTAAAATACTCCACATGAAAGAATGTTCGCAACATCCCCCGTGTTTATCCACACAGCTTCTGCTCTCCAATGCAAAAATTGGACACAACCAGATCTGACCTTCCTAGCTCTCCGTCTTCTGAGCTCAGGCATCACGCTATTCATCTAGATGTCTTGTCTTCCAACTGTTTTCAAGCTAGGTATGTTCTCCTATACAACTCACGATTCCTTTTAGCTGTAACTTGGGAGAAAATATTGCTAGCTGCAATAAGCAGTTAACAGAAGTATAACAGTATTTGCAGAGAACAGAACTAATGTGTTGTGTGCCACTGGTTTATTCAGCTCTAGATTTTTCTTAGGTTTGAAAGGAACACAAGGATGCAGATAAAAAGACTACCCTAACAGCAAAAATTCATACCAATTAACAAACACGTACAATTGCCCTCTGGGGTACTGATACCATGAGTGAATTCTGAAAGTCAAGTAGGCTTAAAAAGAAGACGTTAAGAAGTTTTTAGAGGAAGAAAGAGCAAGATCCCAAGTAGGATGTTATTTTACCACACTTAGCTACTTAAGGCATAATGCTAATGGTACTAAAGCACCAACACTTGCAGTAGTTGCATCTTTCTAGTTATCATCCCGGTCTGACAAGTGACACTTAAATATTGAGAATCATCTCATTTCTAGTCAAGCCCTTCACACTCAAGTGTACTTTTTAGAACACATGGGTTTAATAACCTCCACATGTTTCCACAAGGAGTGATCATGACACACAGCGTTTCTGATAACAGGCTGTCACAACCCTAGGTCTCCAAATTCCCTTCTGCTTAAGAATCTATGTTTAGTTGAAATTTTCTACCACCAAAGCTACCTACTTATGTAATTTGACTTCAAGGAATACTTAGCATCTGCATCCACCTCCAGTCGTCATTCAGCAGTGATACAAGACCAACTAGTAAGAATCTCTTAAATGAGAAAGAAGAGATTGCGGATCATAAGAAGCTAGCTTTACTGAATTAACTAGCATTATCACGGACAAACCATACAGATGCCATGCAGTTAGGCAGTCTACTCAAAGCATTTGGAGCATCTGAAACACTGATTATAAAGTTAACTTATACAGTACAAACCTTATGAGGGTGCTTTACATGAACACAAAATCCCAACTCCTTTAACACTCTTCTTTCCGCCTTAATAATTTGATTCTTCAAGTTTACATATTCTTGATCCAGTATTAGAGGCACAGGTTTTCTGCAAGACAATTTCAATTTTTGAAGAAGATAATCTTAACCTCAAAGAGCACTCATAAGCAGGTTAAGTTGCATTACTGTAAAAATAAGAGACGTCACTATTTATAACACCAAAAATATTCATTTAATCAAATGGGTCAACTCACTTTTCTCCTTCATGAGATCTCTTTAAGATGTTCCCTGATTTATGAAACAGGGAATGATACTATCATCAGCCCATTAAATTTAATAATTAAAACACAACACAAATACTTCAGATTATTTCAAAGTCTAAGCTTACTTTTTTTCCCGTAGATGTCTAAGGCGATGGAACACGTTAATTACATCCCTTATACGTCTTGGCGCTTCTTCAATTTTGGATGCCAGATGAACACAGGCCATTGACACATGCTGAAATATAAGTATTGCAAGATACTGATGTTTTGCTCAAATCAGGATCTGATCTCCTCCAACAGCTTCAGGAGGGGTAACAAGAGAAAATGGTGGTAAAGCCAGGAAATACTAAAAATTTGACAAAATCAGTACTACGTAGCTTTGTAAAATCACGTTGATCAATAAGTAAAATCTACAGGCTAGTTACTAACACTCTAATCACATCTAAGATGACAAAATGCCAAAACAGATCAAAGATTAAATAGCATTTGTAGTCATATAAGCCTTTGAATATTTTCTTACCTCCATGGAATGCTTCACAAAAGACTTGGTATAAAAAAAACGTTGAAATAGCACCTGTCCTGTAGCCATAGCAACCTAAAAAGGAAGTAACCACAACACATATTAACAAAACAATTACCAGTTCCAAAGAGAAATTACCTAGAATGATTTCAATAGATTTAAGACCCAGAAGACTCGCTAAGCTACGCTTAAGTAAGGGAGTAAGTTCAGTAGTATCTAAAGAAAACTAGCACCCCTAATCAGTAACAAATTCAGTTGCCGAAAATGCTATCACCACCATAAACACTGTCTGTTAAGTCACATGCATACATTAAATCGCAAACTTCATAAAAGAAGTATGAAAACATGCTCCAAATTAAATAATAAACACCCCCCACCCCAACTCAAACATTAAAAACCAATAAAACTGAAAGTTATGACAGCACGCCAGAAAAACGTTACTTTTTCAGCGTGGAAAGGGGCGGGGGGAGGAAATTTAATCACATTATGATCTGAATATGCTCGTAACAAAATCTGAGCAGTTGAGACTCGGTAGCGAGAAGATGCCTGAAAGTTTTACGCTCGGAGAGCAACGAGACTGTTTGCGATTGGCGTTCTCCAGGCAACAAAACCTTTCTCGGTCACTACAATTCAAAGGAGTCTAAGATGTCTGTCTTTCCGTAAGCCCCGATCTTAAAAAAAAATGCACTGCGGGAACCCCCGCCCTG